GACGAGGCTGGAATATGGGCTGGTGATCTTGTAGGTACATGCTTACATTTGTCCTTTTCATGTATTATCCATGCAGAATTCATAAAATCCTCACATGCGATAAATCTGTTATTGGATATTTTCTGTATTGTTTAACTGTCGCTAAAACATTTTTTATTATTCTAGTGCAAATGAAGGAGCCATTAATGTGAAGATCAATTATAAGCATATTCTGATGCCCTTTTGATGTTGAATCAGGTCAAAATGTATGAAAAATACAGTGAACGAAATTCTTGGAAATATTCTGTGGTCTCAAGTTCTGCGGTATTCCTCATGAAAACTCTAAAAGAAATAGTTTGTCATTGCTTATGTAATTGGTATAATTTTTTTTGCCATCTGTTTTTAGGCAGAAAAAGGAGGATACAAAACTTATGTGATGGAGATAAAAGGAAACCGTGTTTACAGTAAATTGAAATATGAATCTGGTGTCCACCGAGTTCAACGTGTTCCCCTAACAGAAACGCAGGGCAGGGTTCATACTTCTACAGCAACAGTAGCCATCATGCCAGAGGTGGATGCTTATTTCAGGCTTTTAACAATTAATTATTCATGATCCTAGCATCTAGGTTTGAAAACAATCAAAGCATTTTTTAAAATCTTTGCATTTGAACAATTACTAATTTGATATTTTATTCCAAAAGTTACTACTTTTGCATAAAGGTCTATCTTAATCATCTAGTATTGTGGAAGGCAGGTTAAATTTTGTAATAAAAGGTTGATGCTCTATTGATTTTTATTTTATTTTAAATTCATGCGTGCTTTACCTAGGCTGATGAAGTTGAAGTCACAATTGATCCAAAAGATATTGAACTGACGACGGCTCGTTCTGGGGGTGCTGGAGGTAAAGATCTGTGACCATGAAACCATTTTAGTCAAGTAATCAATTTTTCTATTCCTTGAAGCAATAAATAAACTCCTCCATGAATTCTCATACAAAGATATATTGCAGGCCAGAATGTCAACAAGGTTGAAACAGCCATTGATCTTTTCCATAAACCAACGGGAATCCGGATATTTTGTACTGAAGAAAGGACGCAACTTCAGAACAGAAACCGTGCTTTTCAGTTGCTCCGAGCAAAACTGTAAGCATCAACATTGCCATGTAGTTTTTGTTGAGTCTCAGCTATTTTTTTTTTCTCTCCTTTTCATCTTAAATACAAATTTACGATAAAATATCCCAATCTTTCCTCCAGTTCAATTATTCATGAGGAACTAAAGGACATTACTGTCATGATTCAAGAATACAACAACTGGCCTAACGCCATCAATTCATTAGTTTAATTTTTCGGAGTGTTCTCTTTAACCTATTTGCTTGAGTATGTTACATGTAAAATGATACAAGATCCTTTTTACAGGTATGAGATAAAGGTAAGGGAGCAGCAAGAGTCAATACGAAATCAAAGGAAATCACAGGTATGCTTCTTCTTGTGCAAGTGTTTGAAATACTAGTAAGATATTGGATTAAAGTTTACATGGTATACTGGCTATATGGTGAGCATACTGTTATTTAATTAAAATTCTTTACCAAGTACAGGTCGGTACAGGTGCACGTGCAGAAAAAATTCGGACATACAATTATAAGGTACTCAATGTTGCTGTCTCAAAATATTTGAACATAGTTACAAACTCACGCTCAATGTATCTCCAGTCCCCATCCAAAATTTAATGAGTTTCTATACATTATAATTATATTCATGACAATTTTCCCTTTATAAATTTTAAGGTGAGCAATGTTGTTTTGTTATAAAGAAAAATAGGGGAAGATATGTGAGAAACATGACATAATAAGATCTTTGATATTCATGTCATTGAGTGAAGTGAATAAGATTCAGCAATAGAGTTATGTAGTTTCTGTCAGAATAGTGGTTTGAGGTAGAATTTAGCTATGTGCTATTAAATTTTTAGCTAAATTATACTTTTAGTCTTTTATCTTATTTATTAAATTCATTTTAGTCATTTATCTTTTAAAATGTTCATTTTGGTCCTTTATCTTTTAAATTTGAACAAATTTGATCCTTTTGAAATAATGATTATTTTCAATTTTGAGATATGATTTTGGATATTTTTTACTGATTCAAGACTTGAAATTGTCTCACTAGATTCATTTATATGAAAATTATTGGACATAATTGAAGTTCGAATAAAAAAGTATTACAAACATGGTGAAAATTGTATAAAATAAGTTTAAAAGGCATTTGAAAATTTCAAAAATATAAATTTATTCTATTTTCTAGTTGCTTATGAGAGATATTTCCCACACAATTTTTGCTATCTTTAGAGCTTTTTGGATTCATACGTTAATTGAATTTCATAGTTTTTATATAGTTGAATCTAATTTTATATGTTTTACTTCTTTAATCAATCAAAAATTAATTCAAAATTGTGTCATAAAATTAAAAATTATTATAATTTTAAAAAGATCAAATTGATCTAAATATAAAAGATAAAAGACCACAATGAGTATTTTAACAGATAAAAAACTAAAATGAATATAAAAAATAAGATAAAATATCAAAATAATTTGGCCTAAATTTTCATTTTGTCTTGATGAAATTAAGTTTGTTTAGTGGCAGTTTTTGACACTTAAGTTTGTCATATCAGGACAACAGAGTTACTGACCACAGATTGAAGATGAACTATGAGCTCACCTCTTTTCTTGGTGGAGATATAGAAGATGCTGTTCAGGTATATTATCTAGCACATGGAATGAACACGTTCTTTTTTCTTGTGTTTCCCAGTGTCTGGCTGCGTGTAAAACATGCTTAGAAAGTAGTCTATGTTTATTAACATAGGTGCACATGTGCATCTTTTGAGATTGCTTAATTAGGTAATTTTAGATCAAGGCGGGTTTGTATTAAGATGAAAATGGGTCTGGTAAGAAAGGATTTGCAACAAGATTGAAGGGCTTCAGAGAACCCCAAAATCATTGAAACTCCTATATTGGAATTGATAATGTTGAGTAGGGTCTTTGAGAAGGATGCAGCTTAATGCTGTTGAATGACATTGATTCTCGAATGCCATGCTTTGCCACTTAATCATATTCTTTTTTTTTTTTTTTTTTAACATTGTTTTCAAGGCTCTCCATTATTAAAAAAACTTTCTTCTCGCAGTCTTGTGTTACAATGGAGCAAAAGGAACTTCTGGAAGAACTTGCTGAATCAGTTGGTGCTCCGGCTGGCTGATATGCTGCAGGGTTTTGCCCAAGTGATTTGAACAATTTTGATGGAGTACTTTCACAACGGAAGATCTGCCATATTTATGTTCTCCTGAACGTGCCCCATCATCCTTAGTTTGAGACATAGCGTATCGACTATCGAGGTGATTGATTGTCATTTGTCAATGTGTAGATATGGGGCACTTTTACGTGTAACATTTGATTATACAGTACTTTGTAAAAATCTGTTTCATTATGTAAAGTGATGCAATTAGCTATTGCTTTGTGCTTGCTACATTGTATATGGTGTTAAACCGAGAGTTCGATTCTCAGCTCCCTCGTACTGGTTGAAATTTGGAATCCAGCTAGCAGTTATCTCTTCCAAGTTCCAACAGGTTGAAGCCTTGAAGAGCAACACAGTTTCTTACAGTTCCATTTCCGACCAAATACAAAACCAAAAAAATAAAGAAAATATGTGCTAATTTCTGCCCGGAGCTTCGTGGCTATCTATAGTTAAAACATGTCAGCCATTCAGACTGTTGGCTAATCACTACTGCCATAGGGCTTTTGGAAGTAATCAGTTTTTTTTTTTATTTTTAAATTTCGAATAACATCTCCTCTTTGTTGTTAGGAAAAAAATGACGAGTTTAATAATTTGGTAAATTAGACACTTGCGAGTTACAATTTTTGATTGCTACAGGGCACGGTGCTGCATGTGTTCATGGGCATTGAACGTTGCTAACAAACATTAAGCGGGGTTCTTGATGCAAAACTTTTGAACAAAATTATATCTAAAAAGCTTTATTTTGATCTTAACCTTAAGAGATTTTAGACTATTGACAATTTTTATATTCTTAATTTACTATGAATTTATTAACGATTTTTCTACTCATTTATTGAAAAGTTATTACTTCTTCTAAGTAATGTCATTAAATATAACTATTAATATACTATTTAATTTTGTATATTTTTGGAATAAAATTTTAATTATGATGTTATTAATTACACCTAGTTAAGTTAACTACTTTTAACACTCTAAATAAGATTAGATATTTATTTCTTTTATACAGAACCAGATGCAATATCATTGTGGGATAGTGATTCTAATAACACTGTGAATTAAAGTTAAACTCCTTGAAAATAAAGCTTCAATTATAATTTGTTGTCATTATTATAATTTTTTTATATCATTATCCAATTGCAAGAAATTAAAAATAATTTTTACAATAATTATAGTAATAATCTCTTAATTTCTTTTTAAATGTTTGATCGGGATATCTTCAATGGAATTGGTGAAACTGAGGCAGTTTCGTAAATTGAACCTTGAAAAATCAAAATTACATGTAACATATTTTCGATTTTCCACATAGCAGTTAATCTTGGATATTAGTTATTTTTTCTAAATAGAAACAATACAACAATTAGTTTTTGTCTTGGAAGCACTAAATTATTTACCAGCTGTCTTGAATTTGTTGATTGGTACACGTAACATAACATGTTTTACAATTTACAAATATGAAAAGATGTACTTAAATTTTATAAACGAAAAGATTTTGTGCATGTTTGGTTTTATATAAACTTTTTCGGGATCACATTAAATTAAAATATTAGTACAAAACTAATATTTTATTTTCAATATACTACTATTTCATAAAGAAATAAAGAAGTGAGAATTGAAACTCTTAACGAAAATCAATTTTGATCCTAGAGTCTGAAATCTCATCCAAACATATGGTAAACAGTAACAAGTATTGGATTGGATTCCGAGTTTGGAAGGGCAAAGGCAAAGCATGTGGACGAAAAAAGATGTGGAAGGCAAGGTTTAGAAGGGAAGAGGTAGACATGCAAATGCAATTCTCATAGACAAGTCCCCGCTACTACACACACATTTCTAACTTAACAACACTCCTTCTGTTCTATTCTATGCTCCACCGCATCACCCACTCCTCTTCTTCCTCTCTTCTCCTCCTTCCCCGTCTTCTCTCTCACCACTCTCTCCCTTCCAATTTCAAATTCCCACCAAAACCTCTCACTCTCTCACTCAGACTCCTCTCCATGGCATCATCTCACAAACACACCAACCGCCTCGCTTCCGAACAGAGCCCTTACCTTCTCCAACACGCTCACAACCCCGTAAGTCTTGTCTTCTCCCTCACGCCATTCTAACTCCATTCCCTTCCTTTTCACTAACAATCGATTAATCAAATTAGTTAAATCATTAATTATAACTCTTCGTTTCAAGGTTGATTGGTATCCCTGGGGCCAAGAAGCCTTCGCCGAAGCGCGCCGCCGAGACGCGCCTATCTTCTTGTCAAGTAATTCTCTCATTTTTCGTATTCTCTTTTTGTTCCTTTTGCCAATTTCCTTTGCGTAATTAACTGCGAAGCTTTGCGCGTGGTGCTGCTGACGGCGATTCTGTTCCAAGTTGGTTACAGCACTTGTCACTGGTATGTACTGTGACTCATTCACAACTCGTATTCTTCGTCTCGACTTTTCGATCGGTTTCTGAAGTGTTTGTTCGTAAGGTGTCATGTTATGGAGGTCGAGTCTTTCGAGGACGAAGCGGTTGCCAACCTGTTGAACGATTGGTTTGTTAGCATTAAGGTAATTTTATTTATTTATTTATTTTTCCTTTTATCTTGCTTTGAATTTTAGCTCTAGATTTTTTCTCTCCGCTTTTACTCTTCATTGTTTCACAACTTGTTCTGCTTTGTTCTCTCTCACTCTAATGTTTCAATGCTACAGGTGGATCGAGAGGAGCGACCAGATGTTGATAAGGTATATAGCGAGGAAAAAAAATAAATTAAGCTTCTCTCATAGTCTCATGAGCTAAAATGAACTTATACATAAGTTAAAGATAGAATAGGCTATGCACTCAGAATATAAAGCAGTTTTATATTGTCATCTGGTCATAAACCACCATGATTCATGAATGGTAACTTTATTGACTTTTACGATAATTCTCTTAAAAATCATACAGACAGTATTGATTGTGATTTGAGTGTTTGCTGACAACCAATAAAAAAAGTGGCGTTTATGAATTATCTCGAGTTCCTTTGGAATTTGATTAGTTTAGATGCTTGTGGAAAATTTGAGGTTGGTAACAAGGTGTACTAAAGGAACTTTTTTTTTTTCTTCAGGTATACATGTCGTATGTACAGGCTTTGTATGGTGGAGGAGGTTGGCCCCTGAGTGTGTTTCTTTCACCTGACTTGAAACCTTTAATGGGTGGAACTTACTTCCCCCCTGATGATAAGTATGGACGACCTGGATTTAAGACTATACTTAGGTGAGAGTTATTGCACATGCTGACTTGAATCACCAACCTACTTAGACTATTTCTCTGAATAAATTTGGTGGGCGGCATGTCACAATTTGTTGAGTATAATACTTCAAGCCAATGATTTAAAATTCTTATCTGTATACTATTTGTTCCTCTTTTCTCCAGAAAGGTAAAAGAGGCCTGGGACAGTAAGAGGGATATGCTAATTAAGAGTGGATCATATGCAATTGAACAGCTTTCTGAGGCAATGTCTGCTAGTTCTGATTCTGATAAACTGCCTGATGGGGTTCCCGCCGAAGCAATACATCTATGCTCAGAGCAGGTTAGGCTTTGGGCATCTGCCTTTTCCCCTATTTCAGTTTTACTAGAAATCCTTCCCCTCCATTTCTTAGACACATATAAAGGGAAGAAAAGGAAGAAAGGAAAAGAAAATAGAGTTTCCATGTATAGAGTCTTGCTATTCTCTGTGTTTTCTATTTTTTGTCCATGAGAATGGAGGAGTTTGGGGAAATTATTAAAAACATAGCAATATTGTTTACTCATTTATAAAAAATGAATTCAAGGCTGATAGCAACCAGTGTTGTAAGATTTTCATATTTAATAACATAGATAAAATAATATTATTTCTTTATGTGAGAAAATATCTCATCTGCATGTACTTGTTTGATGCTTTGAATCCTTAATTTATGTCTGAGTGTTTTAATACTTGACTATCATTGATCCACTTTTTTCTCTTTAGCTCTCTGGGAGCTATGATTCAAAGTTCGGTGGGTTTGGATCTGCACCAAAGTTTCCCAGACCAGTTGAGGTCAACTTGATGCTTTATCACTCCAAAAAGTTGGAAAATATGGGGAAGTTGGATGGAGCTGATGGAAGTAAGAAAATGGTTTTGTTTAGCTTGCAATGCATGGCAAAAGGTGGGATTCATGATCATATTGGAGGGGGGTTTCACAGGTACAGTGTGGATGAGTGCTGGCATGGTAAGTTTACCTTGGACAGCAGTCATTTCTTTGAGTAAATATTTGACATGTACGTGTATGAGCTGTAATTCTCAATATGCAAGTACCTGAGTATTTTGATTTGGCCATGCTAATTAGGATGTACCGTTATATCCAATGCTCTTTGTTTTGAAATGTTGTAAAGATGATTAAATTGTTGAGCTGTTATAACTTTGCAGTTCCACATTTTGAGAAGATGCTATATGATCAAGGGCAGCTTGCTAATGTTTATCTAGATGCATTTTCTATCACAAAAGATACCTTTTATTCATATATATCACGGGATATCCTCGATTATTTAAGGAGAGATATGATTGGTCCAGAAGGTGAAATCTTTTCAGCAGAGGATGCTGACAGTGCTGAGACTGAAGGGGCTGCAAGAAAAAAGGAAGGAGCCTTTTACATATGGACAAGCAAAGAGGTTTTTAATCCATGTCCTATTTGACATTATTTAATATATTTCTTATGGATAATTACATTTTAGGTCCCTGAAAAATATACAATTCTTCATTATAGCCCCCCAAAAATAAAATGGTACAATTAGGTCTTTACAAATTTTGTATCTTTCAATTGTGTCCATGTTAGCAACCAGAATTAAATAACAAAAACTGGTGGTATTAATCACTAAAAGTCTAAAACCAGCTCCAGGAGCTGTTACAACCAGAAGAAGTCCAGAGCAGTGCAGTCCTCAGGAAAGGAAAATTCTGTCCAAGATCACATCCTAAAGTAATATAGAGCAGCGGTCAATTGAATCAATTTATTTATCTCATGTATGAATCAATAGCTGTATTTTTCAAGAGCACAATAACTGTAATGAATCAATAACCAGCCTATTTCTTAATTATTAACCTTTAATTTGCTAAGGACAATCTAACTACAGTATTTTCAGAGTTGATATGGAAGTATATGCTTAAACTTGTGAGCTATGATACCCTTTTGAATTTTGACATGTATTTTATATTTTTCAATTCATTGTTGTTTTGTTCTCGTTGATATTTATTGTAGATCTCTATATTGTACTTCCTAATACAAATATAATGTTCTAGTTTGATAATAAGCACAGATAATTCACAGAGATCATTTGTGCTAAATAAAAACTTGCATTTTAATCTAATTTTTTTTTTCCCCTGAATATCTCAAGCATTTGGCAGCATGTCATATTGTACTGATTCCCTAGTGTAATTCTGCAATTATATCTACAGTGACTTGACAATTTTCTCATAGAAGTATTATAATTAATTATTGGTTGGTGTATTATTTTTGGAGGTGATTTTGAACCCCATTTGTTCTGTTTAGGTTGAAGACATACTTGGAGAGCATGCTGCTCTTTTTGAGGAGCACTATTACATCAAGCAACCGGGTAACTGTGACCTATCTGGAATGAGTGATCCTCACGATGAATTCAAGGGAAAGAATGTCCTGATTGAGAGAAAGGAATCTTCAGAAATAGCATCAAAATATGGCATGTCAGGTGAGACATATCAAGGCATTCTTGGAGAATGTAGGCGTAAGTTATTCGAAGTAAGGTCAAGGCGTCCAAAGCCACATTTGGATGATAAGGTATTTCCCTTAAATAGTCTTATTGATTTATTTGGGATCCACCTATGATGATCTAGACTTCAAGTTCTATATGTACTCTAAAGGATTCCTATGCTCCTAGGTTATTGTATCTTGGAATGGACTGGCAATCTCAGCTTTTGCTAGGGCTTCTAAGATTCTCGAGGGTGAACCTGAAGGGACCAAATTCTACTTTCCTGTTGTTGGCACTGAAGTAAGTTTCTCCCCTACTAATATAGCAATGAAGATGAATGACCAATATTTAAAATGAGGGGAGTCACTCCTCTTTTAAAGATCATTTTTGAAAATGTCTGTTAGTTGGCATCATATATGTGCAATTTTACTGTCTAGGATAATGAGTAGTTTCCGAGTTAGAGGACGTTGGGTGTTTAAGTTATGAAGGAATAGTGGGTGAAGTTGTTGGAGGGAACACCTGTAGCCAACTGGATTCTTTCCTTTGTGCTTAACTTTCTCCTCCTTTTGATCGTTCACATTTCAGCCAAAGGAATACATGAGAATTGCAGAAAGAGCAGCATTCTTTATTAGAAATCAACTTTACAATGTGGAGACTCACAGGCTACACCATAGTTTCAGACGTTCTCCATCAAAAGCTCCTGGTTTCTTGGATGATTATGCTTTTCTGATTTCTGGGTTGCTGGATCTCTATGAGTTTGGCGGTGGAATTAACTGGCTTATATGGGCCATTGAATTGCAGGAAACCCAGGTAAAAATTATGTGGACTCCATATAAATTTATTTCTTGTGCACCAGCCATTGAGTTCTAATGATATGAGTTGCTTGCAGGATGCTTTGTTTCTTGATAGAGATGGAGGCGGGTATTTCAATAATACAGGAGAAGATTCTTCAGTTCTCCTCCGCGTGAAGGAAGACCATGATGGGGCAGAACCCTCTGGAAACTCAATTTCTGCTATTAATCTTATAAGATTGGCTTGCATGGTTGCTGGAAGTAAGGCTGAGCATTATAAGAAAAATGCAGAGCATCTATTGGTCTGTAAACCCCTCTTCCCTTTCCTCCTAAAAGCTGTTTCTTCTCATTTACGTGCCAACAATGGTGGGATGGGATTATTAAGGGAATCTCTGTTACTAGTCAGTAGTCACTGGGCAGTTGCAATTGACTAGAACTCCCTTCAAATGGTAATGCAGGCAGTTTTTGAGAAAAGATTGAAAGATATGGCTATGGCAGTGCCTCTAATGTGTTGTGCAGCAGACATGTTGCGTGTACCTTCTCGGAAGGAAGTGGTCGTGGTTGGTGAAAGGACGTCCAAGGAATTTGAACACATGCTTGCTGCTGCTCATGCATTATATGATCCCAACAGAACAGTAAGAATAGTTACTATTTATATTGTCGATATCTTCACATTTCATTCGGATTGTCATCAATATCATTTGTGCTGGTGTTGATTGCAGGTTATTCATATAGATCCCAATAACAAAGAAGAGATGGAATTTTGGGAAGTTAATAACAGCAATATTGCTCTCATGGCGAAAAATAACTATGCTGTCAACAAGGTTGTGGCTCTTGTATGCCAAAACTTCACTTGTAGCCCCCCAGTCACTGATCATGCGTCACTTGAAGCTTTACTCTCCAAAAAACCTTCCTCTTCGTTCACATAAGTTATTGGTTCTGATTTGAGTAGGAAAAATAGTTAACGTCAGTGAAAGCTCCCTCTTAGAGATCCCCCTTTCCATCTGCAGAACTAGCTGGTTCTGATGTCTGTGTCAAATAAAGGTAGGTAATATTCTCCGTTGAGCTGAGTTTTGGGATTGATGCATACCCTTTTCGTTTGCTCACGAAGCCATAATTTTTCTTCAAAATTGACACAGGATGAATGATGGAAGTATGTATATGTAGGTAACGGTTCAAATAATTATCAGTTGCGTCAGTTGAGATCCTGTTCGCTTATGTTTCTACTTCATTTTTCTAGATGAATTGCACAATAAAGTCAAAAAGGCATGGCTAAGATATCCTTCGTGCCTGTTGGTTCGTGCCATATATATTGTAGAATTGTTAAAAAGTTTTCCAATCTGCGATATTCCTTGGTTTTCGAGACATTTTTCTTGTTTGGTATGATTGGATGTGTATTATTTTATTTATGGTATTAAAAAACGTAGGTTGCACTGTGATGTATAAAAAAGTTTCTTCGCTTTCGTAACACAATATAATCTATCTCTGTATCTCCAAATATAAAGAAAATTACAAGTAACATACTTTTAAGCAATTTATTGATACATTACGTAGAGTAGTTTTGTTGCTTAAAAATATATTAAAACTAAGATGAATCAAAGAAATATAAGAGTGCCCTGATAGTGGTACCGCAGGGGATTGAATCCGACTTCTATGTTCTATGTTTATATTCTTCATAATTTCTCAAACAGGATAATTAACTTAGTCCCGGGGAATTGTGCCTAAACATTTGAATATAAAAAAAATTAATAACTTTTGAATATAAAAAAAAAAAATTAAAGAGTGAAATCCTTTTGAATATAAAAAAAAGGTAAAATAAAAGAGTGAAATCAATTGAGATTTATTTGAGAATTTTTTTAGCTTTGTTGAGTTAAAAAATAAAAAATAAAAGGTTAAAATCCTAATTTGATTTTTTATAATATTTTTTTGTTTTAATTTAGTCTCATTTTAATTTTTGGTTTCAATTTGGTCCCTAATAATTTAAATTAGTGCAATGTCGAACTTTCGTCCAAATTATTTAAACGGAATTAACTGTTAGCCATGTGGATGTCAGGTGGATTTCACGTAGATGCATAAGTAAATGTTAAATTTCTTTAATGCACCTGGAACCAGAACGGGTCGTTCTGGATTCAAAACGGGCCGTTCCAGAACGCCAACCACATACATACGTTCAACAAAATGATGCACTGTGAAGGGAAAACACCTGGATAACGCTGAAGGTGCCAATAATACACCTTATCCACCATATAACACTGAATGCCTGATAGGATATCAGCAATATCTACCTGTACATGTGGTTGTGTGGTAAAATGTTGGTCATGTATGTCCTCTTCCTCTACTTCAGGTTGTACCTCCTCAAGAACATATTGTTATTGAGGTACATCGGTTAATAACTTCAAGGGAAAACACCATGTCGTTTAATCATTCCTAACGGGCCGTTCTAGTTTTAGATGCATTAAGAAAATTTAGCATCAACCTATACATCTACGTGGCATCCACGAAGTTAATAGTTAACTCCGTTTAAATAATTTAGACGAAAATCTGACATTGCACTAATTTAAATTATTAGAGACCAAATTAAAAAAAAAATAAAGTAAGACTAAATTGAAACAAAAAAATATTATAAGCAACCAAATTAGAGTTTTAACCAAAATAAAAATAGGTGAGTTGCTTAAAGTAATAAGGATTTATTGAAAATGTGAGATATTATGAAATATTGAATATAGAATGGAGATGCGTAATTAACCTTCAGTTTCACTTGTGGTTTTACGTGTGTCAAAAGATGCATAGCATATTGTGTAATAAGGGGGTTGTTGGGATTTATGGAGAACCTAACACTTGCTAGCTAATGGGTGGTCCTCGCCTCCTCTGTAGCTTATGACTTGTGAGAGTGCGTGCAGAGTTTCAATCATAGGGTAATAAACAGGCATCGTGTGTTCAGTAGGTACTTCCACCTTCTCAGGTCATTCAAACAACTTCGACACGTGTTCCCATCCTGGTGATTTCTTATTGGACAAGGATAGTGCATTCTAGGAAATAGCAACTGCCTGTAAACCGCCCTTGATCCATTCTACCGTACAAGTTAACTAATGTTTGCAATGTGGCAGAAAACGAGAATGTGACAAATAATCATCACTTCATCTGCAATGGTTTTATTTATTATACCAAAGCATCAGGGGAGTCATTCTTACTTTTATTTCAAAAGTTAAAATTACCCAAAATAATATGTACACCAAAATACAAAATCTCGTATATACAACATAAATGGAGTGTCAAAATACTATTTCAGCTATTCAATTTTATCTTAAAATCTGCACGACTATAAACAAGTTTGGAATTCCTTTAAAAAAAGAAATAAGAAAGTGTAGAATTAAACTTATGCACTTTACGAATTCTTTATAAGTGATGCATTTTACGAAACATACTAAATGTATGTTTCCTAAAATACATCACTCATATTCAACTAACCTAATAAAGCTCAAATATATTTTTAATCTCCAAAACTGTGTTTCTTATTTAAAATTTATTTTTTAAATAACTTTTCCGAGGAAATAAAATGTAAAAACGAAAAAATATCACTTGCAATTCTTTTCCAAGAAAAAGGCAAAACATTTTGTTAGGACAAGGAATTTACTCTATTTAACTTCCCACTATTATACTCAAGATATTAAAATCACTTAACAATTACTATCTTTCACCTCTCTTTTCTTCCCAACTAAACAAAAACAAGGAACTTCTTTTTGCATACGAAGAATGCAAGGGCACATAATTAGAATCCGAGTGGCCCTATAAATAAATGGATAACACAAGCATCTTCACAACAATGTCAATCTTGACACCAAAAAAACAGTAAGCACCAACAAAATATATAATTTGAAGTATGCAAGATATAAAGTTCTTATACATGCAAAACTTACGAAGTCTAAACCAACAAAAAAGAGATTCGTCATAACTACTTTAGCAAATTAAAGATTGTGCCAGCGCTATTAAAGATTCAACATCCTTTGAATTTCAAGATATGCTACTCACTTCTTGGATTTCTTTGGCGCTCTGCATTAAATATATACAATTAGGCCACAATACATAACAAACCAAAAGCTGTAATATAGCATAATAAGCATAAACCGTAATACTCACTGGCCAGACTGTGGTGCTGTGGCTGCTGGGGCACTGGGTACTGGCTTATCAACAGGACCCTAAATATTTTACAGAGAAATTGTGTCAAAACTTTCACTATAAACTTCAGTGAACATACTCTTTGTGCAGCAAATTCCCAATTTTCATAAAATATATTAGTAAACACATTCCCAGACACTGGAACTCACCTGTGCTAAGCGCTCCTCCCTCCGAGCAATTTTCCTTTCCCTGCTAGCCTTGTTCTTTGCACGCTTCGCCTCAAACTGATCAGACAAAGTCTTCTCTCTAGCCTTCTCAGCCTTGGACTTGTGAATGCTCTCCATCAAGACTCTCTTGTTCTTGAAAACATTACCTTTCACCTTCATGTACATATCATGGTACATGTGCTTGTCAATTTTCTTTGATTCCCGGTACTTACGAAGCAACCGTCTGAGCACACGCATCCTTCTCATCCAAAGTATCTTGGTGGGAAGCCTTGCCTCTCTTGTACCCTTACGCTTACCTAATAGTATTTAGGTAAACAATATAATTAGCAAATGATGTTCCTCCCCTTCCCACTCCCCAAAGGACAATAGAGCAATTCACTCTATGGCAACCCAACAATATTCAGTGAGGATAGACCTTAGATGCAGTTACTTAGATACTCTTGGTGTTGTTCTATTAGAGTTTCATGTTGATATATGGCAACAAAAGTTTCTGTTAAAGGTCAACATAGATTACCAAAGTGAAACTCAAATTCTGATGGACGTAAAAATGAATAACACTTAAAAGCAACTAAAAAACTGTAAATAGAGTTTTGTCCATTCAGCGAAATCATTACATTACTCCTTGAAATGATAAGCAGCTAAGTAAAATCTTGTAAATTTGAAATGACCAAGGATGTAACATGACCATGACCATAGGTTCTAATCATGCATTAATGAATTACATCCCAACTCATTTGTTGATATTATTTATCATTAACCAAGTTAAAGTTGGGTATAAATACCATATCCAGAGTGACGACCCTTCCTCTTTGCCTCCTTCATCCTGCGAGCACGTGACCGGGAGTGAATCTTGGTTGGCTTCCTGATGATAAACCCATCCTTAACCAACTTCCTGATGTTTTGCCCTGCAAACATTAACCCACCACACTATGAAACAAGCACTTGTATGTATTGCAAAATATTTAAGGATCATACCACACATTAGATAAAACTCAAATTACCAAAAAACAAAAATAACAATAGTCTCACCAATTGCTCATACAAAAAACAAAACCCAACATTGACACTGCAAACAAAATTCATTCACCAGCCCACTTAAAAACACTTTGAATAACAATCACAAATAAGACAAAAATAAATAAATAAAATCCCATTAAATCAAATGCTACGAGTAATCTAATATTGCAAACAACAATAAGCGTCGGATCCAACACAAGTTCTCGATTCTCAACTCATCAATAAGTAAATAAATTAATATAAAAAAATGTTTACACTGCTAAAAGAATGAAAGAGTGGAAGTGGTTACGAGAATTGGCCATGGAGATTTCGTTGACTTCATTGGGGTCAAGCCAAACCTTTCCTCTTCCGCACTTGAGCACGCTTGCGGCCAGCCGCTTCTGCAGTTTCAGCGACACCATACTTCCCCTACTCTATCTGCAACACTGCAATGGAGACAAAGAAACCCTAATATCATTTTTCTTATCAATATATATAAAGCCCAAACCATCAACATTGGGCTGGGCCTTATCCACACCTACGCCGTTTTGTTTGGCCCAGTACTTACAACAAATATATTTTTTAATATTAGGAAATCAATTTTAAGTAACTATCTCTAATAATTCAATATTAAATGTATTATATATATATTTTTTTTACAATAAAATTAAATTAAAAGGTATGAACTATGAACTATGAATATGATAGAGGAGGATGAAGAAGCGAAGCAGCAACATTGAGTATTGAAAATGGTGGAAAGAAGAAGAAAGCCTCTGATACTGTGTTCTACAAAACACATAATCAATTCCACTGCCCCAATCTTCCACCATCAATCTTCTCCTAGCTTCCGCATACCCGTAGGAATTCTCCGATTCCCAAACCCAAACACAAACCCCTCTCTCGACCACTCCGCACTCATCGCCCTCTCCACTCGCCTCCTCAAAACCCTCTCCATCGCTTCAGGTTCACCGGTAATTCAACTCAATTTCACCTTCCTTAATATATTATTAGTACTGGTAGTTTGAATTCTGTTGTTATTCACTTTTAATTTTCACTAGGTTCTGATCAAGAATGTCGACACCAACACACAAAAAGTCGCAGTGGCCGTTGCTCTTGATCCACCATGCACCACCAGTACCACTAACATAGACTTAGACGCACCCTCTTCTTCTTCTTCTTCTTCTTCTCCAATAATGCTTGTTTTTCCATCTTGTGATTTCCCTCTTGGTGGTGGCTCTTTGTTAGATGATCAAGTTGCTTATGTATCTCCTCTTTTGGCCTTTAACCTTAACCTGCACGTGGCGTGCTTAAAATCCATTCTTTTCCACGGTCAAGATGCTTTGGCTTCGTATTTCAAACCTCAGGGTAAAAGGGGTGACGAGGATGCTACTAAAAGCAATGTGGATTCTGTCATCAACGTTGAATTGGAACCGCTTGCTCGGCCTCCAAGGTTTGTCTCTCTTCTGAGGGTTTCTTTTGTGAAGATACCAAAATGTGGCATCCTTAAATCCGTTAGAGCAAGTTCACCTGTTGAGTCCCAAGAGCGGCAAGACATGATTGACTTGGCATTGCAAAAGTACTTTGAGGTTGACAGGTATTTGTCAAAAGGAGATGTTTTTGGGATTAGCATAAGTTGGAACTGCAATTCCCCCATTTGCGTCCCTTGCAATCAAGAACTGCTAAATAAAAATGACAACCTTATTTGTTTCAAGGTATTAATAACTCTCTTTTGTTTTTGTAAAACCTTGAGAAACATGTCAGGTTGGTTGTTAGAGTGTAACTTATGTCTTCAGGTTGTAGGTATGGAACCATCAGATGAACCGGTTTTCCGTGTCAACAACACCTTAACTGCTCTCGTGCTAGTAGGGAGCTCTCCATCCGCACTCCCTCCAGATTTGTTAATTGGTGGACCTGAAGGACCTGTGCCTTTGCAAGGGGACACTGTGAAGATCTTGGCTTCGATACTAACACCAACTCTTTGTCCATCTGTACTTTCTTCCAAGTTTAGAGTTTCAGTTCTGTTGTATGGCTTGGCAGGTGTGTTCTATGCTGTCCTGTTTTATCTTCAAAAGGAATCTGTATTTTCTCACATGATTCATAAATTTATTTTGTGATCTGGATCACCATTTGATATCATCAACTTCTGTTCATTTAAAATGTCAAATAAATGGTGGTTTTATAATGCATTGATGGTGCATGTGTTTTTTCCTGAACAACATTAATTATGTAGGTTGTGGGAAAAGGACTGTTGTTAGATATGTTGCTCGTCGACTGGGGCTGCATGTGGTGGAGTATAACTGTCATGATCTAATGGTGTCTGATAGAACATCTGTTGCTTTAGCGCAAGTTTTCAAAACAGCTCAAAGGTTATGTTTCAAATACTAGGAATGACAAGAACACATATTGTGCCATAAACTTTTCTCCTGTTCCTTTCTTGTTTTGGTGTTGATTAAAATGCGCACAAAACTATAGGACAGGAACATACAATTCCATAAGCTTCTAGTCTGCACTTACAGGATGATATTGTTACAGATATGCGCCAGCAATACTTCTTCTTCGTCATTTTGATGTTTTTCAAGATTCACAATCACCTGAGGTTTCAGCACATGATCAAAGAGGAAATGCATCTGAAGTTGCATCAGTTATTAGGAAATTCACTGAGCCAGTCAGTGAACTTGATGATAGTAACTCCCCGGGGAAACCAAATGGTGAATTTGTAAGATCTAACATACTTCAACTTTGCTATTGCTATTACTGTTTTTTGGGCTACAACTTTTTCTACTAACATTTTTTCTGCACATGGAAGATATTGTATCTTATATTGCAAATCAGCTAAAGAAGTAAAGAAAGTTAACAACAAAAGAAATGGAGAAAGAATTCTTCTTTTTATTTGCCAGATCTCTAACAAAGATTTTGGAAATAAAAAGGCAATTTATTTCCTAAAAAATAATCATTACCAAAATATGGCTTAGATAAGTATTTAGAAATAATAACAGTTTCTGTAATAGAAAAGAGAATGTGATGACAAGGACTTGGCTTCTGGGAACTGTGGTAAATTGAGGCAATCACTGTGCTGGAGATACAAGCTTCTAAAATTGACTATTTTTTATATTGAAAAGCTACTATTAAGTGATATGCAACATACTTTGATAAGAATAAGATACATCGTGCAGAAAGTTGCCTGCAATATGCACTCAAACACTGCCACTTTAAGATCAGAATATATATATTTTGTTGTTGGGCTGTTTTGCTAATAATTCATATCAAAACCAGAAAAGCCTCAAAAACCAAAGTTGGCTTTAATTTTTTTAAACAGAATAGCAAAGATATTTACTTTTACGGCATATTGGTGAAGGTGGAGAAAAATGCTGAAAACACAAGTGGGCATCAGGTCCTGTTGATTGCTACTGCTGACAGTTCAGAAGGTCTGCCTTCAACTATCAGACGATGTTTTAGCCATGAAATAAGCATGGGGCCTTTGACTGAAGAACAAAGGGCTGAAATGCTATTTCAGTCACTGCAAAGTGTTTCTGAACTCCTAACTAGTGTAAGTGTTGAATGAATCTTCATCTTGTGTTTATGTTTACTTTTAATTTTTTCTCATTTGGACAAATCGTTGATCAAGTTTCTTGTATCCTTGCCATCAAGTTCTCAAATTAAACAATGAAAAGTGGATGTTTCTTTCAACATTAAATAGCATATATCAAAAAGAAAATAAAAAATGACAAAAAAACTAATTTGTAGAAGAAAAAATCTTAACAAAAAGTTATTTTAAAGTTGAGAATGGGTGTAAGAGGTGGTGCCTTTTGATTAATTTGGAATTCTGATTTTCTTCTCTCTTCTTGACTGAAAATATAACACTAGACTTTTAAGAAAGGGAAAAATTGAGATACCAAATGTGGGAACACGCTGTGTATAATAGTGTAAATATTAACTCTGACTGGTTACATTGTTGCTTCTTGCAGACTGATTTGGAAGCTTTAGTAAAAGAAATAGTTGGACAGACATCTGGTTACATGCCCAGGGATATTTGTGCTTTAATTGCTGATGCTGGTGCCAACTTATTTCCTAGAAACAATGCTAAAGTTGACAAAGATGTGCCTGATGATGCAGATAGTTCTTTTAGTTCCAAGATGGCAGAGGACAATTATGGTAAAGTTTCACCTCAGATTCCTGGGAAAGAAGACTTGTTGAATGCTTTGGAACGATCAAAGAAAAGAAATGCATCAGCATTGGGTACTCCAAAGGTAAATTAAGTGATCAGGCTTTTATGGTGGTTTTTTTGTCTACATTTAAGCAGACAAATTTACTGTTGTTTTGATGCCAAAAAAATGTATATTTAGCATGAAAGATGTGTTATGGGAAAAAAATTGTTCCTTAATGCACAGAAATTTTTAAGTATGGCTTTTTCTTTTGCAGGTTCCAAATGTGAAATGGGAAGATGTTGGTGGGCTTGAAGATGTCAAAAAGTCAATCCTGGATACTGTTCAGGTGGGCTTCTTTTATGATATAACTATATTGGTTGTTACTTTTTCCCCTGATTCGAAAGTACAATTCCACCCTTTTGAGTGTCAGTTTCGATAAATTTCACAGAAAGAACTTATAGAAGGAGGAAAATGAGGAGGTAAAGTGAATAAAACTTCTCCTACAAGTTATAATCATTTTATCCACCTCAACTTCTGAGAAGCTCTCTCATCTAACTTCAAAAGTAAAGGTGCATAAGTTGATTTTAGCTCATGAGAAAAGTTGTATTCATTTCATCTTCTTATTTTTCCCCCCTATAAGTGCTTTTTGCTAACTTTATGTAAAAACTTCTGGTTATGTTTACATGGTCAACATTTTAGAAGATACTTTAGCTTGTCATATATCATAAGCTAACTCAGTCAAATTACATTTTAGGTTAGGTATAACTGTATAAGAATATGGATAAAAAAAAATTAAAAAAAAAAGACAGTGCTTTTGGATAGTCAATATTGAAATTTGAATGCAATTCTCTCCTATGTTCAACATGGAAGCTATCAAGACTGAATTATACTAAAAAGAGATTGAATAGGCTCTTCTCTTTCAACTAGAGCAGGAAGATATGACCCTTCCAAATATAAAAAAATCATGGAGTTTTCCCCTGTAGATTACTGCATATTTTGGCTCTTTCTATTGAATAGCACATAATTCTTGCTTCTCTTTCAGGTCACATTTTTCTTTTTTGAGAAAATTCCCCTGGCATTTTTCGTCTCTATTTTAATACTTATCATACTAAATCATATGTTACCTGGACATACTGTTTATTGTCTGTAATTTTTGAATATTCGATTCATTCTGTATTTCTTATTGTAGTTACCTCTCCTGCATAAAGATCTATTTTCATCAGGATTACGGAAGCGATCTGGTGTTCTTTTGTATGGTCCTCCTGGAACTGGAAAAGTAAGTTGTAATGTACTGGTAAATGACGATGTTCTACCTCATTTCTTTTACTTTTGAGTTAAAAAAAAAATATTTCTAACACCATTTTCTTGCTCTTTAATTTAATAACAGACATTATTAGCAAAAGCTGTTGCTACAGAATGTTCATTGAATTTTCTTAGCGTGAAAGGTCCTGAACTGATCAACATGTACATTGGAGAGTCTGAGAAGAATGTACGAGACATTTTCCAGAAGGTATGATATCATAATAGTATTTTTTTTAATCTAAATAATTTCTCAAGTTGAATTAAATGTGTTTGTGTCTCTTTACTGTGAACTAGACAGTTTTCAGAACAGATTCTGATAAAATGATGTTCAAAATAATTCACAGGCCAGATCAGCACGTCCATGTGTCATCTTCTTTGATGAGCTTGATTCTCTTGCACCAGCTAGGGGTGCTTCTGGAGATTCTGGGGGCGTTATGGACAGAGTGGTTTCTCAGGTGATTTCCTATTCTGAACAAGACCGTGACGTTTGCTGTTTTTTTGTTTCAGTTTCCTAATGTAATATATTCCCCTTGTTATTAGATGCTTGCAGAGATTGACGGCTTAAGTGATTCAACACAGGTTATTTATCTGCTTGAAATATTTATCTTTTAGCAAAACACATCCTATTTTGCTTCTAACAAGTGGTGTTTCTGTTTTTGGCTTAATAGGATCTGTTTATTATAGGTGCAAGTAATAGACCAGATTTGATAGACCCAGCACTTTTGCGCCCTGGTCGATTTGATAAACTGCTATATGTTGGAGTTAACTCTGATGCATCTTACAGGGAGAGGTAAGCAGTCTGCTTTTCCAGCTCTACTTGTGAAATATCTATTTGTGCACCCCTGATCTCTATCTCTCCCAGGGTCCTGAAAGCTCTTACCCGAAAGTTCAAATTGCATGAAGATGTCTCACTTTACTCCATAGCAAAAAAATGTCCACCAAACTTTACTGGTGCAGACATGTATGCCTTGTGTGCAGATGCTTGGTTCCATGCTGCAAAGCGCAAAGTAAGTTCAACCTTGGTCACTGGACTCGTGACTAATTTGCATGCATTTTGTTTGATATTAAATGACTTCTGATATCTGAAATGATAGTGGACTGCCGATTTATAGAGGAAATGGCAGCCTGTATTTACTATCACAAGCAATGCCAGCATTAAGATTTCAGAAACCTTAATGTTCTACAAATCTATGCATAAACTATTATGCGATTAGATTTTAGAGGCTAATTAATCTCACTACTTCGTTCTAGGTTTCAAGTGCAAACCCAGAGTCTTCCAGCCAAGATAATGAAGCAGATTCAGTTCTTGTTGAATACAATGATTTTGTCCAGGTAACTTGCAATTTTTCTTGATAAATCTGGTTCTGTGTGGATCAAACTCATAACACTTATCCATGAATTGCTTTCCCAGCTGTTTCTGGTATCTATCTATTTATGTGAGTGGCATTTCCTGGATTTTTCAGGTCTTAGAAGAGCTGTCGCCTTCCCTCTCCATTGCTGAGCTTAAGAAGTACGAGCAACTGAGAGATCAGTTTGAAGGCACCTCTAAATGAATTTTGTTGCTGCTGCTTTGAGAAGACTATAAAACAAATATGCACCAAATATGAATATTAGCCACATTAGGATTCCAACCACGGACCAGGGACGGCCCGCATCTAGCAAAGTGAGCACCTCACCATAGCCTAGCATAGTAACTAACCTCTTTATTATTTAAAAAAAAATAATGATGATACATGATATTTATTTTAATTTAAAATAAACTTTAATTAGAATGTATTGATAGCTTAAAGGATTTTTTACATTGTTATTCAATCATATATCGACAAGTATGGTAAGTTATTAACTTTTGTAATAATTATTTTAAAAGTCATATTTATTATGCTTTCTAATTGACTTTGTAATATTTAATTTAAAAGTCATTATTAATGCTTTCTAATTGATTGAGAGTTCAAAATAGGAAAAGTGTATGAAAATTACCTTCTTGAAATATCAGCATAAAATCATTCTAAAACTTACGTATCAAAATATAAAAAATAGAAAAGCAGTTTGCATGAATTTTGGGGTCTTACTAACTAGTGCTCTTATGATACAGGCTATGGAATCGATATGTAGAAAGTTTATACCAAAAATTACAATAAAGAGATACAAGAGAATATACGTATACATTTTTCGATAAAAGTTTTCTACTTTTGATTTTTAACTGACCTTATTGTAATTGATAATAGATATAATAGAATTGAGATTAGTATCTCCATAATTTAGGAAGAGAAAGTGAATCCTATTTACAAGCTAAAAGAATGTTACAGGAGACATTATTTAATTTTATTTTAGCATCTCCTCTTCTCCCCTAGTTTTAAAGGAGTAACTGGTGCTGCTCCTTCTCTTCTCACTCATTGCTATAACTCATCCCCCTCTCATTTTCTCATACATCATTACGTCACTTTCTCTTCCTTTTTCTTTTGCCCCGCTGTCGTTTCATTTTCAATCGCTAACGACCCTGCGTTTCTTATCTAAGCTTTTCCAAACATAATACTCTCTCCGTTTTTTTTCATAGTCGTTTAAGGTTTTGCACGGGAATTAAGAAAATCATTGATATTTTAGTTTTCAAAAATATTTATTACTTACTTTCCTATTTTACCATTTTTTTTGCATTTTTTAGACTGTTGAACTACTCCATTAAATAGTTGTCCTTTTTTTTGTTTTTTTATAGTATTTTGTTGGGAACATATTGCTCTTATAAATGCACATTAACTTTATATGAGTAGTTAGAGAAAAATTAGGTAGACATTAAAAATAAATACACACATTGTTAAGGAAACATGTATTAATTATCAAGGGTAAAAATGGAAGAAAAAAATTAATAACTCATTGATTTTAGTAATATGACAATGAAAAAAAAACAACAAACTCTGACAAACCGACTATGAAAAAAAAACGGAGGGAGTAATAAAGGTAAATTACACTGCCCTTTTCTGCTAGCATTTATGGCAATTCCTACGAGGCTTCTAATTGTTATTTTTCATAATATTACAATGAAAAGAAAATTCAAGAAACACTTTTTTTCTCAAAAAAAAAAATATGGAATGATTTAATTCAATATGCAGGAATACTTAAATAACAGTGTAAGTCATTACCTAAATGACAGTGTAAGCAGTCATTGGGGGTCAATGCATAGTTTACAAATTACACTAGATTTTACTCTTCTTAATAACTAATATACTATTTTCAAACTTAATGACTAATTGCTATTGTTTTTTCAAAACTTAGTAAAAGTTCTAACCTTTGTATTCTAATCTTCTTGATTAAGTTTTTTTTTTCAAAATTAAAAGCATTAACAAAAGTTTTTTAAAATAAGTTAACATTCCAAAATATTAAATTATATCAAAATATTATAAGAATTACAGGAAGAAGTCATTAAATAGCTAAGAGGTATTGTTAGAAGTTAGAACTATTCTGTTGATCGTAGGTTTTCTACTTCTTAGATCGGATATACATAATCCGGTAGGCGTTTAGTAAAAATAAATAAATAATAAATAAAAAGATATATATA